CGGGCCGGTCTGTTTTTCGACATTACGGGACGGCGACAAGGCCGTGACGGATCTACTCTCCTTATTTATAGCACTTAGATTACTCGCAAGCGTCGCTAAAGGCAAACAAATACGCCCGCCAACGGGTCGATTAGGAGCGTGACGTTACGACAACGGCCGCACGGCACGGGGAACTTGACCCCGTCTGTGGTTTGCGTCACGTGGCAATGGAATAGAACCCGGGTCCGTAACAATGGGCTTCGTGCCCACGCGCCTCCATCGGTCACGAAAGCCAACATTTGCAGCAAGCCCGGTTCCACTTCTCGTCCCGAGCGAAGACTGGCTGTACGGCCATTTGTTGGCTAATGACGTGTAATATGTCTAGATACGTTCTCCTTCTTCTTTCCTTTTTTGGCGTTTTTCAATGAATATCCCAATAAACACTGTTAATTCTCAAAAACTGTTAGTTATTACTCAACATAGTTAAACAAGCTAAGTTGATATTATAGTCACTCTGTCTAGATACGTTCCGTTGATAGTTGTAAATTTAACAAGTTTCAGATGCAATTAATTTTTGTAAATAATCATCTATAATTATTATTAATTTAGATTACATAGATTTCTATTTTGGTATATTTGTATCGAATGACTCAAAAATTAAATATACGATTTCAAAAATTCTTTCACCCTTGGAATGCTACATTATACCTGAGCAAGATAGGCTATATTAGGGCCGTTAGTTAGTATATTTAATGCACTTTTACAGACTTTGAAAACTTGTGAATGTTTTATCTATATGGATATTGAAAAACAATAAGTAATTTCTGTACCTTTATATCATTACTAATATAACTATTTTTCACTTTGTCTGTCAGTCTGCCCTCGAGTAACCATGGACTATCCATGGTTAGTCGGGGGCAGACTGACAGCTAAAGTGGAAAGTAATGTAAAGCGTTTGAAATGACACATCGGGATTTTGAAAATAAATAAATAGTAAAAGGCATATAATTCATCGTGTGGTAAATGAATCATTATGTATATATAATTGTATATTTCTATAGACTTGGAAAATTTGTCAAACCAAAAGCAATATCTGGGTAACAAGATTTATCGTAACAAACCTGCTACAAAAATTTAAGAGCATTTCTCGCACGGCTGATTGGGTTTACTTACGTTGTTTCCACACCCGCTGAAAACCGGAAAATACTTAAAAGAGTTACGGAATTCTTTCAAAATAGTGTGTACAACAACTGGACCAGTTCAACATTGAGAGGCAATGTTGTCACGGCCCAGATAAGCCAGAGTTATGACTATTTTTAACGGCGGTAAACTCCCGCGGCAGTGTTGAATACGCAAGATTATTTTTCACGTCCCAATACTTCTGTTAGGGAAAGTTTAATTCAGTAAGCCTTTTTCATTTTACGCTGCTTCTGAAATGAATAGAAAGCATGCCGTAAGCTTGAATATCGGTAATGTTTAATAACCTCTTAACATTGGTTTATACCTAATTGATTGTTAAAAATTCATATAGACGTAAAATAAGTAAATTCAATATAGACGTTATGTTGCCAGGGCAAAAAATCTTCTAATTTTAAGAAATTACATTTGTTATTGACTATCAACTTTGAGATGTTTAATAATATACATGACACACAGTTATAAGACATATTATAAGTGAATGTGACAGATGACATAGAACGTATGATACAAAAAGAGATAACAGTCTATCGAATGACAACAATTGATGTAATTTGAACGCCTCAATTTCGGAGCGCTAGTGTCAAAACTATTGTTAATAACATCATCGTTGGCTATAAACAAAATTAACTGGCTATAAACAAACTAAATGATTTACATTCAAAAATTTTAATATAATTTTTCTGCTGACTTTAATGATGTCATCGTTAAATGTCAACCGGTTATGTTATAACCATGTCCCGAAACTTGACATTATCAACTATAAAACGATTTATCGGAAGCTATAAAAATTCGCAGTATCATTATTCATACTACCGACCGACAGATTATATAATATTATTTTCTCCTCGCTTCCTTGGATATACGCAACGCAAAAATATAATCGGCGCACACTTTCATAATTTAACGTTTCGCTATTAATTAAACAATATGTTATCTCAGTTACGACGTGTTTTTAAGCGATGCAATAACAAAACGCTTCAATAAATTACTAGATTCTTTTCTTACTTTTAAATATCCAATACGTTATAAGAATAAGCTATGAAAATAAAGTACTGGCACATATTTCTCGCCAAATATTCTTACATTAACTTTTAAATCGTCGGTAATTTGTTTTAATTTAATTGTGTAACGTTCTATTCTTTTTTTTACGTTCTTTATTTAAAATATTATTTAATGCTACAACGATTGTTTTCAAATTGAATTAAGATATTATGTGAATTTTAAATTTGTACCAATATTTAACAAAACATCGAAAAAGCATATAGAGAATCGTTGTTGAAAGAATTGTTGTTGATGAAATGTTGAAATGAAAACGCAATTGAAGCAGCACCTAGAGGTAAAAGTAAAAGTAAACATGCATAATTTTGGCTGTTTTAACACCGCCGAAAGTGCAACACGTAATGTCGCAGTATTGTTTGTATAGAAATGTATTACGCTTTCGAAGCCTCGTAACAGCTTTCTTCTTAGTTTAATTAAACATTGAATGTTTAAATATCGTTTTTTGCAACTGAGAGTTGGCTTGCGATATAGTAACATGTCTAACGACCCACATACAACCAGGATGGATTTGTTATTGACGCACCCAGGGTCTAATTCTGTTTAATTCATTAATAAATTTCCATCAATTATCTTAATAAGACAATAAATCAATAACACGAAAACTTACTGTGAATTTCTCATAATATTTTCAACTTAAACAATCCCGAAAATATTTAATACAGCGTGAAGATTGATTGCTCGACTGACCAGACTTGATCCATCAAAATCATATCAGTGTGATGAAAAAATTAAATTTGTTGTTTGAATGTTTTGTGATTCATTAATAAATTAATTACGTAGTAAATTAAGCAAACATTTTCGTTTACATAGGGATCAACAGCTCTGGATCACTAACTACAGCATGAAGCATTACCTAGCACAGGCGATGTGACACTTTGAAACGCGGGGAAGAGATGCAATTTTAATTGGTTAGGTTTACATACTAATTCTAACTAAGCTATCAGAAATTAAGCAGCGAAGTACGTTGGCATAAGTTGTGGACAGTCCACACCCTTTCGCCGATAAGTGTACACAACGCGGAACGAGTTCTTCAGACGTTAAATTAAATCAGTTGCACTGCTGACCATATGACGGTTTCTTTACGTAACAGCCCTGCTATATGAGGTGCAGTCTCTGTTTCGGAAAAATTGCGGCAATTATGTAACCACTGAAGGCATGTTGGTGATTTCAATTGGGTCAATTAAGAGGCCGTATCTATAATATTAAAAAAATCTATATAAATGTTATCTATGATCTGTTAATAAATTAACATGCAGTTGTAAGATATTTAAAACAAAATTTACTCACAATGCTATTCTGTGTGTGCTTTATTTATATGTATCTATCTAATCAATAGAATCTATCTTTAGGCAAAACAAAAGCATTCCATGCAAATCCACACAATTGGATGTATACAAATTGGTAACGCTGTCGCAATTTATCTTAAATACTTGAATTCTGCTTAATTTAGAAGGGATATAATGACTAAGGCAACATTCCAGGCATAGAAATGACGTGTACGGCGTATGCCATAGAACTGAACCGCACGCCAGAAATCTGGACGTATTTGACAGATTGATTACTGTTATTATTGCTACAAAGTCCATTGGCTTTTTTATGTTAACATTAACTTTTATTGAGTTTACCCTTACAATTCTTCAGTGTGAGGCTGTGCTGGCTGGTGTTATAAATTAATTACATCCCTCATTAACAAACAGTATTTTTAGTATATTTTTAATATATAGATAGAGCCGTGATAGCTCAATGTCAGGCCGCTCATTTTTAATTAGATATACTCGAGCAACCTGAGTTCAAACCCGGTGCTGGAATGAATAGTTACTAATTTTAACTGCTGAATTATCACGTGCTCAGCGGTGAAGGAAAACATCCTATAGTAAACCTGAATATTTTGCAAAAATAATAACAGAAAATATTTCGAAGATACGTTAAGTCCGCCAATCTGTGGCGTGGCTGCGTGGTTAACAATGCCCTGAAGTACCTACTAGTAAAGTGGAGACTTTTGCCCAGCCGTTTAATGTGTATAGGCTATTAGTTTACTTTTACTTTTATATTGTAGATATTGTAGATATTGTACGATAAGATAACCCAATTCTTGAGACGTTTTTCAAATTAAAACGGAAAAACAGGACAACATTCTATTGTTAAAACTGATTTATTTATTTATTTATTATTAGGTCTGCCAGTAAATGTTACATTAAAAACAATATTACATGAAACATGAATCAATGTTACAACTAAATGTACATCTAATTAAGAGGCAAACACAGCATGCGTAAAAATTAAAACAAAAAATAATAATAAAAGTTATACGAAAAGTGTGAACAAAATATCGTTACTTATTACTAATTTATTACTAAATAAATTAAGATTTAAAAGAAAGCAGATTGTAATTTTATAAGACAAGGCATAAAAGAGTAAAATCTATGAAGAAAATTAAGTCGTGTGGTATATGGTATTATTTTAAATGACAAATGTTAGGTTATATACAACATCAAACAGAATACAAATGACTTATACAAATAAAAATTACTTAAATCTTAGCATAATAAATTTTGTACCGTCCAATTTTCATTATTAATCTTCACGATCCATGATGATAGGGCTCCGTTTTACGGTCCAAAGGTTTAGTTAAGTTCCGTCTAGTTATTTTACAACTAGTCATGTTTATTACATGTATTATGTCTCATTATGTCGACTATTCGACGTTATATTCGACGCTACTATATCTGAGAAATTATTTAGTGATATTTCTACTGTTACAGGTGGAGTCTATTAATAGGCGTGGTGCTGGTAGCCAGTGGTGTTGTCTCTGAAGAGACTGACGACGGAGTGCCCGACGCAGGAGTAGACGGCGATGATGAACTATCCTTAGATCAGGAGGTAAGCTAGACAGTTTATTTGTTATCTGTCAGTTTGGTACAATAATTATGTCTGTCGTATTAATCAATTGTTTATCAGTTTATGTCCACCTGGTGACAGTAAAATATTTTCTTGTTTTCTCGTCAGTCAGTTCATTACAATTCCTTATGGAAATGTATCACGGAACCCTTTTAAGGTACAATTTTATTTTGTTGTGTTTATATAATATTTATTTTATTTTAAACTCCCTTGTGATATGCATTGACTCATCATTATCATTTCGCCCGCTCTAGTCCACTTTTGCTCAGTAATAGCTAATTCTTTGTAAGTAAATGAAAGAAAAAATATCAAACTAAGGATATCTATCATTTTAATATGATAAACAAACGATAAATAATGCATTGAAAGGGTCCATAAACGTTTGAATTAAAAAAAAGTAGCAGTGCCCTCACCGCGTACAATGACCTATATGTTTGAGAACTGGATTTACCGCGGAGAGTAAAAGTGGATAGGTATTACGCACATATTCGTTTAACAAGTTACGTTCTTTACCATAATTTTACGTATGAATTACATTTCAGATTACTGGCTTATTTTTTCGAATAACGTATTTATTTTTCAACTAAAAAGCTATAACGTGACTTGTGTGTAAAAATTACTCGTAGCAAAGTACCTCATCGCCATAACTAAATAATTGTCGCCAGTGACATTACCGACTTGATACGATGGGGAGGTTCCAATAGAGGAGCCTTTACTTCCTCAGGACCGGCAACTCTTTCGCGACTCTCATGATTTTGCAAATGTCCATCCGTGGCTTCAACCGCTTAACATCAGGTGAACCAGTTCCTTTTCCAAATTTGCTAAATAAAGAACTAAAATATTATATACACGGTCCGATTCAATAAATAAACTGAAAACCATTGTATCGTTTTCATACATTTGTTGCATCTTCTTAAAAGAAAATGCCACCTCTCTTCAAATAATGTCAAGCCAGATACCGGGTTAGAGTTGCATTGCCAGCCTTTAACTTTGGGTAACCACACTTAATAGACGAAAAACAAAAGTATAAACATTATCTCAGTCCTCTCTGTACTTTCCCGGCCGAGCCGGTCCATTAACGCGGCAGCATCAACCTGCTTCGTGGCTCAATCAAAGTGAAAGGATGTTTCTTTGTTTCACGTATATATCGCATCTATGTGAGACCAAGAACTTTCTTACTAATCACACGAATAATATATACTTTATATAAATTAAAAACTGTTTGCTCTAATGATACAGATGATTATTAATGTAGATCTTTTTATTTTAATTTTATATATTTCAAACCTAGATTATGGACTCTGTCGATCATGATCCTGTATTCGTATTAATGAAAAATACTTCAATCATATCGAACTTGACACCAATTTAGAGTCAGGGACACCACCAAAAGGCTATCCTGACAAATATTTAAAAAATCGTTATTCAGAGGCATCTAATGCACTTAGGTAACAAAGTCCGATTTCCAATGACAAACAGTCTCTGCAATTGTGTAATTTCACAAAATCACTGAGAACGGCTTTCGACTTCGCACAACTCACGCGTTTTAATAAACACACAAGCACTCTCTACTCGCATCTTAACCCAGATGGTAGACAAAAAGTGGTATATGGAAATTTACGCGGACGAACAGAAATATACAATTATTTCAGGGTCACACAAAAAGTAGAAGAAGAGCCGTGATAGGTCATTGTCCGCTTTTAATTCTATATAATATATATCTATATAATATATAATATACATATATATATATAATACTAAATATATCTATATATATATGTAGGCGTAGGATAAATAAAATCTTTATTTTGAGTATATTGTTACTATTTTCATCTTTATTTAAATTAATACATTTTAAGACACAGATACACGTTACTCGTTCGTGGCGTCGTTGCGAAAAGTCCCTCAATCCCTTTTACGTCATCCATCCTTCTCATTAACACAATACTTCGTTCAAAAATCATCTTTTACTCAACTATTAAATAATTAATCCTACATATATATCTATATAATACTAGTGATATCAATACTAGTCGCGCAATGGTCCAAATTCGACCATAATTACACTACAATGTGTATTTTTTTTTATTTAATGTATTTTTATGCATCATTTTAAGAAATATTAGCACATTCTGCACTCCTTCTCTGTGTAAACTATAAGTGTGGGAAATTTCATCCGTCCGTGCAATTTTCGTTAAAGGAGTACGAAGTTTTTGCTTCTCGTATTAATATATAGATACTCGAGCAACCTTATTTCGATGCCCGATGCCGGCACCAATGAAATTGTTAATTTTAAGTGCTGACTTATCATGTGCTCGGCGGTGTAGGAAAACATCGCGAGGAAACCTGCATACCTGCATACCCGCATTAAGGACACTTAACTCGGTAAGATTCGACCAATCAACGGTAATTCGGGCAATCCAGACACAGATTATGAAACATTATTGAATAACAATTTTTTGATTAACGGAAAACAAAACCGACTTTAAATATCTCGCTCTGTATTCATTTTATAATTGATTTTCAGGAGTTCCCCGAGTATCTCCGGAGCCCAAGATCCAATACCAATGAAATTAATATGGGACCACATGGGAAGCATCAGCTTTCAAATAAAAAAAGAATCATCAAAATCGGTGTAATCGGTCAAGAGTTCTGAAGTAATACAAACATAATAAAAAATACAGTCGTATTGAGAACCTGCACCGTTTTTGAAATCGGTTGAAAACAACTAACTGTTGCTCACCAATTAGGTACGTGGTTTAGGACGATGATTTTAGTAAAAAACTGTGGTACTTCCAAAATTATATCTACATAAGCAATAAATATTAACCACGATAAAATCCTTAAACTCCTAACGCGCAATATGTATTTGCTTAAATATTTTCTTAAAAAAATAACTTGAACGCATTTGTGTATGAACGTCATCTAAATAACATATCCGGTGTCGTCATTCTTTACCCGTTTTGTTTGTGTTGTAGTCTTAAAGTTGTGTGGAAAATTATCAATCACGTATTTACATATCTATTTACGTGTCTTAATGTTCATTGTTCTTACTTCTGGTGACTGGTTTACTTAGAGAAGGCAATTATCAATTATGTATTAACATATATCTTTTTATGTGTAATTATCTTAATGTTCATTGTTCTTAGTTGAGATGATTGGTTCTAGTGACTGGTTCACTTAGTGAAGGCGTATACACCAGTCTGCCACTTCTATGTCTCACTTGAGCATTTCTGAAGACACTGTGAAGGATCAACTCCTACATAGCATTAATACAGAACGCAAAAACATCCAACACAGACAAAATCAGTGTTCTGTGATCAAAATTATCACGAAAAAAAATTGCATGAACATTATATAAATATATATAATAATATATAAATATGCCGGGTTCGAACTGGTATCCGAGCAATCAATATATCAACTGGGCGTTGTAAGAGACGGCCGCGCACTTGTCTCTAGATTACGACAGCGGTACGTGCAGCGAGAACAAGTCATTACCAATCCGTTTTCGTTGCGTAATAAGACTAAATAGGGATTCGCAGTTAACCAAATACATTTGCCAGTTAGCTCATGTAGTTACACATTATCGCTGTGCATAACTTAAAGTTACTTAGGCGTATGTTTATTTATTTGGAGAAAGCAGTCTTCTAGCTTGATCCAATGCGATGTTTAATAGAAATCCATTGTAACTATCTGCAAATAGAGGAAAAATCCGCATGCATTCGACTAGTCGGAAATAGGATATATGCTTATTGTACCGGTAAAATATATTTTGCAATGAATTAACTCAAACGACAGGTATGTTAGGTAAAATACAAACGAGATATTTCTTTAAACTAGCCTAAATCATTTCGTTTTCTATTAAAAGTGTTAATAATTCTTATTAATGTTTCTTATAATATGTAAATAATCTGTGCCTCCTTTAAAAATATCTACAAACGCGATGATAAGGTTAGCACCGTCATCATTTATTTATAGTAAGTATTGTTATTATGTGACTCAGTGGCGTCGTTGCTAAGTTATTGGATTTTTATTCTAACACATAGAAAAAAATGTGAAAACTGCTGTTTATGATAAATGTGAGTTATTGCGTGAAATTTTTTTTTTTATGTGAAAAGTTGCCAAACGAGCAGACGGTTCACCTGATGGTAAGTGAATACCGCCGCCCATGGACATCTGCTACACCCGAGGGTTACAGATGTGTTGACAACCTTTTGAAAATTGGGCTCCGGCTACCTCACTCACCAGACGAAACGCGAAAGTATTTGTCATACTTCCACTTTACGCTGGTCTTCTGTAAGTTCGTGGTACTTACCCGGACGGGCCGAAATGCAAACATGTCCAAAATATTTAATTGGTATTAAACTATTATAAGAATACTTTATACAACATAGGAAAATATTATTTTGATGTAAAATGGAACTCAAAATTGTTTTTTTAATCGTGATAACAGTATAGCGGTAAAATAAACTGCTCTCGATAATTTGCTTATTAATCTGTATCGAACGTTGTTTTCGTTTTAAATCTGTTTGGATTTGATGCTTGAGTGGCCTTAATAACCAGGAAACTTAGTGCCACTTTCCGTGGGAAAATTTATTTGTCAATCGATTGTAGATCTAAACGGCAGTTTAAGTTTTTACGATTATGACATATTTTAACGATATTTAAGCAAAAAGAGAAGTGCAGATTTTAGATATTTTTTTTTACTTTTTTATTTAAGAACTGTTTACTTCTGGACTTTGGTAATTGTGTAGGCTTACAACGTGGTCACAATAATCCCTGCTAAGATTATCGTCTGTATAAAAAAAAGACTGCTGGGCAAAGGCCTCCTCTGTAAAGAGTTTGTAAGGGCATAGTTCGCCACGCGACCCCATCGCGGATTGGCGGACTTCACATATTTTCGAAAAAATTTTTTTATTATTATTTCGAAAATATGCAGGTTTCCTCACGATGTTTTCCTTCACTGCCGAGCACGTGAT